ACTGAAAGGTAGTCCTGAAATTTTAATAAAGTGTGAGCTCTTGATGGTGTCTTAAGAAATAACAGATGTGTTAGCTAAGAAATCTATGTGTGTGTGTGTGTATATACATATGTATATATATGAAGAGAAAGTATATAATAATGGAGAGGTGTAGATGATGATGGAGAGGTACATATATTGGGGTATTAGGGGAATGGCCAATGGGTGAAAACAGGGACGGTATTACAGGAGAATGATTGTGTTAAGACTTCTGAGACTTATTGCTGACAACTGTGCCTCTTAAGCCATACACAGTTGGTGCAGCATATTAAAGCTGAAGTTGGAAGTAAGTTTTACAAACACAACTGTCTGTTTTGTTTTTTGGTTTTGGTTTTGTCTCAAGCTTTGTCCTCCATTTTGAAGTTTTTAAAGAGTAAACTCCACATGATTCTACGTCAAGAGGATCATTTAAACATTTTAGAACCTATGAAATTGGAAAAAAAAAATTGAAACAAATCCCTTGGATTGTTATATAAGGAGATATTTGAGATACACATTATGTGAACTATATAACATGACCTCCCTGAGGAAAATTTATACGGAAAGTATTAACTTTGCACAAGTGAATTTCTGAGGGATAAAGGCTAGCTCTTGATTTCCAAAGGAATTCATTATTTCATATATTGGATCACCTTGTTAATGTCTTATGCCAGAAATATGAATGTCTTGGTAAAGAAAAAAAAAAATTGCTTAAGACCCTGGACTGCTGCTTCTCAGAGATAAAGTTGAAAATTACAAAGTCATCTTTTCCATTCTCACCCCTTAACAAATTGTTTCCTTTTCTGTAAGCAGCATTTTTCTATTTCTTGGTAAGTAACTGTGTTTCTTTGAAAATGTCTGTATTGAGTCATCACAGAACTACAATAAATGTTTTATTGGTTGATATATGCCATCAGAGGCCAATAAAATAAAATCACATTGAACTTGAAATGGAATCTATTAAATGAACTCTTTGTATGCCATAATATGTTCCTCTCATCCTTAAAATTGAAGAGACTTATATAGGTTGTCAGATTTTTTTTCGGAGCATAATTAGGATAATAGAGTTATGATTTAGTGCAAGAAAGCAATCACTTATAAAACATACCCTTGAGTCCTTAAAGTGTTAATAAAGCTTACTAAAGTATACTATACACTTCCCAAGAGTAGCCTAAATACCTAGAGGATCTGGCTAGCTGTGTAAGAATATTTAAGCTGATCCTATATGCTAACATATTTTTATTACAATGTGAAATGGTTTAGTATCATTTAGGAAAGTGTGTCCATTATTGACGAATTCATTAGCAGAAGCTGACTTCTGCGTAAAGACTCTGCTTCCCAAAGTGCCATATTTAGGTTCTGTTCTCCGTAGAAAATATTAACTGTGAAATTTCATGTGTAAGTAGTAAATTATCAGGACTACACAGTGGACCAATTTTAGAAATATCTAATCAAAGCCAATAAATTTTCCATTTGATGTGAGTATGTGGTGGTAAGATCTAATGAGAGCTGTTGATAGACACTCACTGTCCCAATTTCCTGCTTCATCAGAGCGTGTAACCGAAGTGAAGACTGACATCTTCGTCACCAGTTTCGGACCCGTTTCAGACCATGATATGGTAAGTGACACTGCATCTGTGGTCTTCTTGGGGTGTTTTTTTTTTTTTTTTCTTTTAAATTTAACTTTTAAAAGAAAAATATAGACGAAGTTTTTAGGTAGCAACCTCATACAGTTTGGATATACATTTGTGCCACTGTGTATATAATATGTAATATATAATGCATATAATATTTATACCAAAAAAAACCTAAACCCATTGCAGTCAATTCCATTCCGACTCATAGTGATCCTATAGGACAGAGAAGAACTGCCCCACAGGGTTTCCAAGTCTGTAATCTTTCATGGAAGCAAATTGCCACATCTTTCTCCTGTGGAGTGGCTGCTGGGTTCGAACGGCTTACCTTTCTTTTAGCAGCCAAGCACTTAATCACTGTGCCACCAGGGCTCCTCATAATATTTATATAGTAGAACAATACCCATTTATTTCCCAGAATAGGTCTATTTCTATATTTATCAACCACAGCAGTCTTCTTTTTGTCCATCCCTGGAAATGACTGCTTTGTGTTGGTTCATGCTCTGCAAGCCCAATAGCTGGAGTTCTCCTTCATTTTAATTAGGAAAAAAAACAAACCCTCCCCACCCCGTTGCTGACTCATAAGAGGCCATGTTAATTCAAGGATGGCAGATTTTAAAGTAGCCAGCAATGTTCTTGGAAAACCATGAACATTATCATTCCTGAATTATTTTTGGCTAAAAATGGAAAATGAGTATACAAGCTGAGTGAATACTTAACCAGAATTAGGCAGAGAAAGAGTTTAAAAAAAAAAAAGACACTGACAAATGTTCAGCTTCACTGCAAGGCACTCATTAAAATATTACCAAGAGTGGGAATGAAATGAATAAATACCTGTTCTTTCTTTTCCCAAACCAAATAAATTACAAAGAATTTCTCTAATATCTGGTGGGAGTTGGTAAATCAGTAAAGCTCTGAAGACATTGTATACTATTTTAAAACTCATAACAGCAAAGCTTCTATATAAGGAAAGCAACCCACGAAGATATGTCATTATGAATATTTCACAAAATACATTAATTCAATATTGTTTTTGAAATGCTTTTTTTGTTTTCATCATCTGAACAAAAATGTCCTCTGATTTCATCATCTGAACAAAAATGTCCTCTGATTTCATAGTAACTTAGGATGATGATTCAGAATAAAAGTTACAGAAAGTATCAACTTAGGCCAGCATTTCCTAAGATGTGACTATTGGCAGTGAACCCACCTTGGCTATGTAAAAACTTTGACAAGTTCTGGGGTAATGAAACCTGTTTGACTATATTTAATCAAGTGTTTTTCCAGCCATATTTGTACAAAATCCTTTTTCTTCATTCAGTACCTGTTAATATTCTATAGAACTAGTAATCTATGAATCAAACATTGTGAAATGCTGGCTCAGGGGATAATTGAATATAATCAGGTTATGAAACACACTGATTATCAAATAAGAGTCAGCAGAGCATATGAGAGACAGCAGAGTGGTAGATAAGAACACAGGTTACTGAGCCAGAATGTACGGGGTTATAATTTTAGTTCCTCCATTTACATGGCTGTGTCCTTGGGGAATTTACTTAATATCTCAGTGCTTCAGTTTCTCCATGTTTAAAACAGGGATAATAATACAACCTTATGAGGTTATTTCATGTATTAAATGAATTAATGCATGCAAATCACTTAAAATAATTCCTGACATATAATAAGCACTCAACAAATGTTAGCCATTGTTACTAGTCAAGGAACAGAAGTATAAATTTCAACCATAATTGTGCATTTATCTTACAACTCATTTTGTCATTATGGTCAATGAGTAGACCACTTTATTGGAATACTGTGAGATACAATAATTTTAACTTAATTGATGACTTTCTGAAGATCTAGTTCATTGTGGATTTTTCCATGTTGGAAAGCTTCCTTTGCTATTCTCTCCTCATGACACTTTTCTTCTTAAGAACATTTAGTAAGTCTCAGTCAAGTTAAAGTTTAACACTTTGGTGACCCAATTATTTTATGCTTTGAATTTTTTTTTTTTTTGATACGGTGTGTTTTCACTAATGCAAGCATGCTGAATCATTGAGTATATCTGAATTTTTGGTAGGTAATATGAATTTTTTTTTCTTGTTCCTTCCCGAAAGCCTACCCTAAGTATTTAGTGATACATATGAAGTACTACTAATTATCTACCTCAGAGTCCCCACCTAGGTTTATTGGTACATATATATAACAAATAAAAATTTTCAAAATTTTTATTTTTCCTACCTAGAATTCAGACACCTCATATAATACCCTGTAAAAACAATAATTTGCACCAAACGCCCATCTCTTCACTTTTAAATAGTCATAAAGGCCCCTGTCTTGTGGCAGCATGCACTGTCACTGGTACAGCAGCTTCGCAATGAATCCTAGAGGCTGAAAAATTCATGGTTGCTGTATGTACCACTGAGCATGAAGGGATTTTAAGTCAAACTCCTCTGCCTATATTGCCACTCTTCCTCACTCATTCCAACATTATTTGCTGAATAGGACCAGGCCTTTAATTCTCTGTGCAAGTCCTGCTCTGTGGGGCAATACAACTTAGGGGCTCAAAGGACCAGCTCTAGCAGTTATGCTGGCTGAGTTCAGATCTAGCACTACCAGCAGTGTGACCTTGTGCAAATCACTTAAGATTCTAAGGCTCAAATTCTGTCAAATGGATATATTATTATAGTTACCATTGTAGGATCATTATAAATGTTAAATGAGATGATGTATATAAAGTGTCTACCAATAAACTGACCAAAACCATTGCTGTTGAGTCGATTCTGACTCACAGCGACCCTATAGGATGGAGTGTAACTGCCCCATAGGGTTTCCAAGGAGTGGCTGGTGGATTTGAACTGCCAGCCTTTTGGTTAACAGCCGTGCCTCTTAACCACTGTGCCACCAGGGCTCCCAGTGTCTATCAGTAGTGCTCCTTGTCATACCATGGACCCATAATGGAAATTTTCCCTTCTCTCCAACTATCTAAACCCTATATTTGCTGCCAAAGTCCAATGCTTTATGACTCAAATGCTTGGTGAAAACATTTTCTGATTAAGCTAATAACAATATTAACTTCTCCTTTCTGTATTCTAATCACATTTATTGATTATAACACACAATTTAATATTTGTCACAGTCAGTACTGCTCTGCAAGGTTATTTTCCTGGTATAAATGTCATATTTTCCTAATGTGATGCCCAAAAATGTAAAGAAGTTTTTCCACATCTTTCATAGTGTTAGTGCATTGCAGGCTTTCAGTACGTGTTAAATTATTATTTACTTGGTAATAGGTTTAGAGACCTATATTATCTTTAAAAATTTGGGGACTTACGGGGCCTGATAAATTCACCCCTTTTTCCTGTCTGAGTTTTTAACTGTGAGAAAGAAGACAATAGAGTAAGGGATACAGGAAACAAAAACATCATTTTTCCTAATAATGAGGATATTACAGAATGTGGTTTATACTAGCAGACAAATGGGTTTCCAGATGGTGTACTCCAGAAACAGTCAGAAATACTCACCAGGTCACAGGCAGTGTTGGCGTCTCTCTGCTAGAGTGTAGACTGCCTGTGTAAACCTTCAGATGTAGCGGAGCACTGCCGAATTTGTGAGTCTTATAGACAGCTAGCATCCAAAGGGGCAAGACAAGAACAAGGGATTGAGATAGGCAAGCTTAGTTTCTCCTTCCAAGTTCACCCATTAGATTACACTAATCCTCTCCTTCCTTTGGGGCAGAAGAGTATGAGGGGATGGAGTGCATCCAGGAGTTCTACACTGTGGTGCTCCCTTCTCACTGACGTCAACATCAAGAGAGGGGACAAGACGTTAAAACATCCCCTGGCATGGTGCCTCAGGATAAGTATATGCTCAGTAGGAGTTGCTGAGGGACAGTTTCCAAATGAAGCTACATGTAATCAAAAACTTTCCTTTTAAAAAAATATTTGGCATGTTTTGAGTTACCAATTCAGATTAATTGTGATTTAAGGAACAAATGATGTTTTCTGTCTTAGAATTAAGGTGTATACTAGGATTTTTGATACACTATTACTGCTGTTGTTAGGTGCCGTGGAGTCCATTTTGACTCATAGCAATCCCATGTGACAGAGTAGAACTGCCCTATAGGGATTTCTTGGCTTTAACCTTTAGGGTAGCTGATCGCCAGTTCTTTCTCCCCTGGAGCCACTAAATGAGGTCAAACTACCAACTTTTAGGTTAGCAGGTGTGTACTTAACTGTTTGCACCACCAGGGCTCCTTGATACACCATTAGACCTACGGTTATCATGACTTACTCATACATGATCTTTGAACAAACATCAGACAGGAAGAGTGCAGTACAGTCCAAGCCAGCAGTACACCCCACTGCCTGAAACTTCTTAACCAGATCATGGTTAAATTGTTATGTCAATGGATCCAGTGGTTAAGAGCTACTGGTGAGCTGTGGCTGCTAACCAGTTGTCGGCAGTTTGAATCGACAGCAATGGGTTTGGTTCCGTTTGCTTTTTTTTAAGTGGAAGTTATACCTGACCACCCTGTTCTTGAAGATTAATCATCTAAACCACATCATCATAGAATTATGCATAAGGAAGAGCAATGTGATTTAGAGGCAATCAAATTAGAAGGCAGAATGACAAAGCTGTTTTTCAAAGCAGGAAAAACTTTGTAGTTTTTTAGGTGAGAGCTAAGAAAATATCTAATTAATAGCTATATCCATAACAACATTAAAATTATTGAATGCTTACAATATGCCAGGCACCATGCTCAGGGTTTTACAGATCATATTTCTTCTAATCCTCATGCTGAAACTTTTAGTTAAGCACTAATATTATGCACATTTTCCAAAGGAGGAACGTGACCTAGTTAGCTAAGTGCAGTGATTTGAACCCAGTCCACTCAACTCTAGAGACACTTTAGCTCCCAAGGCATCTGACTTCATCTGGAATAGAAAACAAAATTAGGACAACTCTTTAACTTTATTTTAAAATCCATTAATTTGCAATTAAATGGCACATTCCCAGGGCACTAGGTTCTGACAGAAATATCCAGGCAGCACAATCATAGAACCCTGCTTTCTACAGTGGTTAAAATGTATTAAGTCAAAGTACACACAGATGGTAATATATGGTGCAAGTTAAACACTTCAACACAATGTTTATTTAAGAATGTTAAGGATATTTTTGTAGGTCTTCAGAGTAAGGCTCACATTCTCCTAGGACCTACTTTATCAAGCAGGGTACCTCAAAGAGACTTTTCACATGAGTGATGGGGCTGGAACGTGAGACTTGGACATATTCTTAAGCAGAGCTTCCTCTTGGCTCACACACTGTGACTGTGGATTCCCCTTTTGTGCCTTCTGTTTTTGCTTGGCTTGGCTGTTACCAGCTTGTCATTTCCCTCAGATTTTCTATCCTACCACCTTTCCAAGGAAATAACACTTCTTCACTCTCAGCTACATAAGAAGTCTAATATAAATTTATGTTGAGTAAAAAAATGAAATAAGACAAATAGTAAAAATTTCCAACCTTTTTTGAGAGCTTTCTAGGAGCCAGGCATTCTTGCAAGCTGTTAATGTGTATTAACTCATTTACTTCTTATAATAGCTGGGTGACGTATTAGGAAACTGGTGCTTAGAGAGAGGAAGAAACTTACTTAAGGCCATTCAGCTGGCAGACTGATGATGCAATTATAGTTCGTTGGTTTAGAACTTATATTCGTAACCACTATGTTATGGCTCTACCTTTTTCCCCTTTCTTGTTCCAACTTCCTGAAGAAGGTTCTCTGGCCCATCTTGGTCCAGATGTCCATTCTAGGTCTATTAAATTGTGACCATGGGTGCAAGGTCATGTTATACAAGTAGCTACTTGTACTATCATCTGCTGTTACCATGACAATCATGCACGATACAGTTCTCAAAATACAGAGGACCAAATATTTATAATCTTGATTAGTCAGGAGTTGATCATCATCAACTGCTTTTATTTCAGTTCTCATTTCTACTTCTATCACCAGGGAAAAATAAAAATAAAAGCTTACTTAGTCAGTTTTGCTTAGTGTGTGTGTGTGTATTTGTGTGTATGTGACTGGTATAATATTTAAAAGGAGAATGTCTTCAATAAATTTGGTAATTTCATTGTCTGGCATTAACACAGATAAATTGAGTTCACTTTAAACTTGATAAACATGTAAACATCTGGACTTTGGAAAGTTTTCACATAGTTTTTTGGAATCATGGCCTTTGGGATATATCTTATCAAAGATGTGATATTAAATCTATTTAAAGTTTATTTTATATTTAAAAATTATTTTAATTTCAAAAGTTTCCTTGCAGCAAGCAGACAAATGTTCAACACTCTTAGATTCCTAGGAACAAGGTCAGCTTAGACATTCTTGGAACCTTGATTGACAAGTGGCCATTCTTTCTACTGTTGGCTAGTTCAGAGTGAACTGAGACTAGAGATTGACTGAATTGTGAGTAATAGAAATATCATCATATACCATATCCCTACCTATCAGACTTGTCCATTTCCCAGAGTGGAAGACATGTACAGCTCAGAGTAGACCTACCCACACTATTGGATTGGGGGGCGGGGAGAGGGAGAAAGAGAAGAAATACTCAAATAGCATAAACTGCTTCCCAGGACTCCCTAGAATGATTGAGCCCAAACTTATTAGCCAAAGTTTTGAGGAACCTTTATATCCTGCTCCAAATCTTTCTTTCCAATTATTCACTTCCACTGTCTCCTTAACTATGTTCTCTCTCCTCAGTCTGCCCTGCTTCCCTGTGAAGCGCTGCTACCCTGCATTACTGCCAGTTGTAATCCACAGTCCTTTCTTTATTTCTCTCCTCAGGGAAAATACCGTCTTATGTCTGTCCCATTCCTCTGTGAGGTTTTCTTGCAGCACCCAAGCCTATACAGCTTCTCCCTTTGCTGAATTTAGCAGATGCTTAACAAATGCTTGTCTGTAAAATCCTGTTATATATTGCAGTGCCTTCCATCTGACACCTCTAGACACTAAAATCTAGCCAACAAAACAAGGTCACTTGTCTCGGCTCCAAGACTCACTGACATTATGTTACAATTCCTTGTTTCCATCTCATTCAGCATTAGCACTATGCCTGGCACATTATAAACCATGCAATGATACTTAATCAGTAAGTGCTCAGCAGTGGCAAACATGTGTCAGAAGGATTTACCTTCGTTTAATTTTTACCCAATCTTGTTTAAAACCTAGGAAAGAGATATTCACACATAGAAGGTCTACACACAGATATTATTTATATGGTATGTCCTTATGATGGTGGAGTGATGGTTAAGCACGCCACTGCTAACCAAAAGGTCAGTGGTTCGAACCCAACAGACACTATGGGGAAGAAAGACCTGGAAATCTGCTTTCATAAAAATCACAGTTTAGGAAACCCTATAGGACAGTTCTAGTCTGTCATAGGGTCACTATGAGTTGAGATTGGCTTGATGGCACCTAACAACAACAACAAAGATGGTATGTATAATATTAAAATGTTTGCTTTCTTGATGCTTCAGAGTTTAGAGGATTAAGAAAACATGGCATGAGGTTTCCAAGTCAGTCTTTCTTCCAGTTTGGACCACAATATGATTAGCAGAGAATATGACTGTCTTTATTTCAAATCACTAAGTTCCAAATTTAGTATCAGCGTGGCAAATACTGCAAGGAAGATGGATGTTACCCTTTTCAATATTAGGAGCTGGTAAGTCTCATTGCTTGTTTTCAGATTAGCAGATGTTTGTCTCTGGGTATTGCCATAAGGAATGCTATGTTTATTCAAACAAATAGATTTTCCAGCAGTGAATGATGATGAGCTTCACACATTTCTCATGTGTCTTATACACACATACACTCACGCAACACACACTCACATACACCTGCACACTTTGTATTCTTGATTTTTTGTTTTTACATTTTGGAAAAGATCCAAATTGCCAGTGAAAATGGATTCTTTATTTTCATAATCTTCTTTTTTGTGTAAGAGAATTGAAAGTCTATATACACTAACTGTGAAAAAAGTTTTACTTAGCCAAAAAGAAGGGATTTTCCTACCATGTTAGAACCATGGTTGACCTGGGTTTGGTTGTGAGGTTGTCAGAGGCCGTGGAAGGTACCCTCAAAACACTGTAGTTTATTGTTATGGTTGGAATTATCTAATTTAAAATTTTTCATGAATATAATAACCTCAAGGTGGTGTAAACAGTTAAATACCGAGCTACTAACTGAAAGGTTGTCTGTTCAATCCCACCCAAAGGCACTTCGAAAGAAAGGCCTGGCAATCTGTTTCTGAAAGTTCGTAGTAAGGAAAACCCTATGGAGCAACTCATATATGAGTTGAAGTTAACTTAATGGCAACTGATTACTGACTAACATGAGTTTGGCATCCGTTTGTAATATATTCTATCTCTTCTAGGGCTGGTATAGTCGGGGCTGGGGTGTTATTTTCTTTTCACATATATGAGGAGATAATTGGCAGAATTTTTCTGACCAAGAAATGTTCAAACATTTTCAAAATTAACAAAAAAAAAAAAAAAATTATGCCAACCAATGATTCTCCCGACACCAATATGTATAGGGTACACAAGTTTACTTCTAAAAACATCACCTAGCTTATATTTTGCTTCCAAAGTAGCAAAAATTATGCATTGTTTTTATAAGGTATTTGCACTGCAAAATACAACACAGTGAACTTTGCCATTTTCCAAATTTACCTAGGAATATACAATAGATGTATTTTTCCGTCAAAGCTGGAAGGATGAAAGGTTAAAATTTAAAGGACCCATGACAGTTCTTCGGTTGAATAACCTAATGGCAAGTAAAATCTGGACTCCGGATACCTTTTTTCACAATGGAAAGAAGTCAGTGGCCCATAACATGACCATGCCCAACAAACTCCTGCGGATCACAGAGGATGGCACATTGTTGTACACCATGAGGTAAGATGGTTATGCTTCTATTTGTATATATTTCTGTGCTTCATTCTCTACTTTTAGGCAGTTGTCAAGCTGATGGCTCAAGGCAGAGATTTGCTTTCCTGTTTTTTTTGTTCATCTTTAAAAATTACTCTCTTATGAGGAGGGGGGACTTGCTTAAATATTACACAAGTATTTAAATGCTAAATATGATTAGAAAAGAAATGAAAAAAATGTTGGCAGTATATATATTAGGTAATACAACAGCACAATCTATTTTTCCAGTCACTCTGGTTCAATATGAGGAACTTCTTCATTCTAGTAAATCACACATATTCTTGCATTCCAGTAAGGTCTAGATGAAATTTCTAGAAGCTTTCTAAGTTGTATATCTGAAAGTGTTTGTAATTAGAAGGAAGGCAAATAAACAGAAAATTAGAGAAAGCTAAACAATTCTTAAAAGACTCAAGTGGAAAATATGTATTTGAAGTATATGAAGTTACACCGGTATCATTAGCTAGAGAATAAAGATTGTCTTAATTTTGTTTAAATTGAAGATCATGCAGACTTTTTCTATGGTTTATAAACATTTCCTCCTTTTTGAGGTTACTAGAAATTTTAGAATCTAGTGAGTACTCAATACTTGATGGCTGAATGAAGGGAACATGAATGAAATAAAATTTTGAGCAGTTTTGAAAGAAAAAAACAGTCACTTAAGGTACTCATAATTTATGAGAAATTAAGACTTGTCCACCACTGATCCTTGAGGGAAGATGTTATTTCCTTCCCAGTTGAATTCTAAGAATGATGCCTTTTTAGATTTGGTCGCTGTCTGGCAATTCGGACCATCCAATTGTTCCTTTGGTATACAAAGGTAATGAAGGTAAAATCCTCATTGTGGTGGATTGTATTTAGCATAGGAATAAAGTAATATTTTGCCTTTAGTAAGCTGCCAGAACACTTAGCATATACAGGCATCCAAACCACCTCCCCAACCACCACCAAAAAAAAAAAAAAAAGTGCTTGAAGAGCCATGTTAGATGTTGGACCCAGCTAGACAGGATTGGTCCAAGTACAGCTGGAATTAAAGAATAAAAAGTCCCCAAATTAGAGAGAGAGAGAGAGAGAAAGGGAACCTATGGACACATGTGTTGAAACCTTGCCAAATCATCCAAGTAGGACATGTTTATATTTGAAATTTGAAATACTCTTTCCCTCTAAGCAACCCAGACTTGTCTTTGAACCTCAATTCAGTGCATATCCTGAGTAATTTGCTAATTCATGGTTTCTGAAATATGCAGTATCCTTCATCAATAACTGGCCTATATCTTGCATCTCCCAAATTTCCCTGCGCCTTTGCTAATGTACTATCATTTTGTTTAATGATTTCACTTAAGAATGCAAGTTTAATAGTTAACTTTCATATTTCATATTTGTTTTAATCAATATGGTGATTTTGCTTAATGATTTTAGCTTAATTATCTTACTTAATGATTTTCCTTAATGATTTTACTGGCTATAAAGTCTTCCTGCTACATTTCCTGAGCTACTTAATAATCTGAGTAAATATCTCTGCTTAAAGCTATATGAGACAAGTGGATATAAATTCCCTCTTAATTCCACAAAACGGGATCAACTATATTTCAGTGGATTCTTAACAACCCCTTTAAGGCATGGATAGAATTTACATTCCCAGATCATATGGACTAAAGAGAAGCACAGCAGAGTCCTGGCTTTAATTAGGCAGTGAATTTCTAAATAAAACTAAATGGATGGGCTACAGTGACAAAAGGAGAAAATCCCTAAGAAAAAGCTGATCACATACAAACTCTCAAGAAGACTGTAAATTAATATCAGTCTCATAAGGCCTTACAATAGTTCCTCCTGCACTTATTTCTTCATTTTTTTTTTTTTTTTAATGCATTTGTTGCTATTTTTTAAGGAAGGAGATAGGGTGAGCTGCATTTAGGAAAAGGGAAATTTGCTTCTCTTCCTTGGTATCCAAGTCTTCTTCTTAACCAAGGATGAATCATTATTTAAACAAGTATTTATTTGCTTATGTCTAGTTTTGTTCTCAAAGGATTTGCTGTAGTCAGGTGGATTAGTTGGTGATAACTTGTTTTGGAAAACAATAGCAATGCTTGCAGATTGCACAAAATCTATTGTCACCTATGTTCTCAAAACAAACAAACACAAAATGGATAGAATCCAGTCATCCTTGTAAATAATTCTTTTTAGATAATTCTATTATTAACAGCTCGGCATAGCTTTGCAGTTTGTTCCTGTCATCCAGCTTTGTTAATACATTTGCTACAGTAAGTAACATCCCAACTGTATTTATTAGGAAGGATCTAATCTATTGGACTCTTGTTTGTGTACTTCATTTCTCTTAATTGACAAGGCTGACAGTGAGAGCTGAATGTCCAATGCACTTGGAAGACTTCCCTATGGATGCCCATGCCTGCCCACTAAAATTCGGAAGCTGTAAGTAAATTTATTTTAAAATTTCTTTATCCTTATGAGACATTTAAGTATTTGAGCAAGAGACCACCAATCAGTTATATCTGTCAGAGAGACAGTTAAAAGATTTTCAAGAAAGCTTAAAGAACATTATTCTGCAAGAACTTTCTATAAGTAATAATCTTTTACTGCAATATTTAATGGTATTTCAAAAAAGCTGCTATTCTTTATTTCCTGGCCTAGAAAGCACGTATTAAACTATTTAGTGGGAGAATTCTGTTTTTTGTTGAAGTTGCATTTGTGGAAAAAGGAGTAGCGTATGGATGCTTATACCACATGTATAACATTTTCCTTCAAAGAAATGGAGATTATTCTTTTTATTTTACATTGTTACTGATACTTTTTTGACTTTAGAAATAATTCAACTTGTTTACCAAATGGAAACACTGGTAGGTGGCAAAGGACAAGAAGTAGGCATTTCTTAATGGTGAAAACCTACAGCTAACAGATGTTGCCAGCAAACAATTTCCCCTAATCAAACTCTTAGGAAAGTTCTAGATCTATTTGGATATCTCATGGAATTCGTACATATATTTATGCTCTTGAAGGTATCTCAGATATCCTTTTATAATAACTTTCTGGGTTTTTGCCATTTGAAAACAAGCAGGCACATCCTAGAGGAGCCACAAGAGCAGTGGCCAGGAGAAGTAGGTTCTCTGGTGTTCCCTCAACCCTTCTGCTTTTGACTAGTTTGCATGCATGAGAGTGAGTGGGAATAACGTATTCCTGCTTTTCTGCAGTGGAGTTACGTACATGGCTGAGTCAACTCCTGGACTACCTAACTAGTTTTCTGTTCTCACTAGAGAGGCAGTCTAAGCAACTATTTTGGTGAAGATATGATTCATAGAAGAAAAAGAGTGGTAGTGTAGGAAGACAGTAAGCAAAGAAAATAGCAAAGGGCCTTCAGGCTCCTAGCAGCACTGGGCACAGAGCGATCACTTTCTCTATTTATACATCTCTTCCTATACTGAAACTCAAGGGTAGCCTACTTCACAAACTATCAGTTAAAGCAACCTTTGGTGATAACTCCCTTCACCTCAACTTCTTTCCAGTTTAATAAGTCTCTTGTACGTCATGGATTGTTTCATGTTCTTTTCTGATTAGCAGTTCCATTTTTAATACTAACAACATGTATTATGTGTTAATTGTATTTCAGGCAATATATTTAACATTTTAGATGTATAGGTTCATCTCATCCACAAAATAACCTTAGAGTTAGGGTGACCATATAACACAATGTGTCTGAAATAGTACTAATTTATGCCTATTATCTTAGTGTAATTATTATTAGTGTCCACTTTTACCTTCGTAAGTGCCCTGGTTTGAACAGTAAATTGCATATTAAGTATATAAGTCAGGAATGCCTTCAACAATGACTGTAACTGAAAAAAAGAAGGGTTTATATTTTTATGTAAGCTATCTGAAGATAAGTGATCACTGATTGATTGCAGGTTAGTTCAGCATCTTAAGAGGGCTAAAATCTTAAGATGTCCTTAGATGATGTTCTTCCTGGTCACTGATGGTTGCTGCAGCTCCAGGCATTTCAACTTTCCAGATAAGGAGGAGTAGTGGCTGAAGAAGACATAGTGCCTGTGTCAAGAAAATAAAATCTTTCACTAAAATCCTAACCGACATCTACTCACACCTCATTAATCAAAGGTGTGTGTCACATGGCCAAAGCTAACTGCAAAAGAGGTTGGGAAAGTATATATGTTTATCTGGACACAATGTTAACCCAAAGAAAACTGCAGGTATTGTAGGAAGCAGGGAATGGATAGTGAATGGAAAACAAATAGTATCTGGTTCATATAAGAAAACATAAGCCAAAGAACATAAGTCCCCCCTCTCCCATTTTCATACACCTAATAATTATTACTAGGAAGAAATGTCTGGCAATCTTCTTCTGAAAATAAGCCAATGAAAGCCCTATGGATCACAATGGTCTGATCTGTAACTAACCATAGGTATGGAGCAGGAGTGGACAGCATTTTTTCCACTGTGCATACTCAACGGCAGCTAACAACAGCAACAAGTATTAGGACTAGGCTCCTACTCCAGAAACGGCACTTATTTTAGTCCCACTTACAAACAGTTCACATGCTGGATTTGTATGTTTTCTTCCATTCCTCCAAAATTCTCTTTTCATGTCTCTGAACTAAATTCAGAATTCAAGCACACTGACTTTTAGCCAAATAGCCCATAGTCCCAGGCACAATAATTTCTCACTTGCATTACTAAAAGGGATTCCTAACAGTTTGCCCCGTTCCGCTCTTTCTCATTTCCCCTAAGCTCTTCTTCACATGACAGTGACCCCTTTTATACTATAAATGCTATCATGATAATTGTTGGCAAAATAATTCTTCAGTGACTTTTTTTTTTCCATGCAGAAACAGTATTCAATAAAGTCCAAACTCTTTACCATGGTCTATCAGTTACATGACCAGGGCCCTGACTATTGCAACTGATCTCCTGTTTCTACACCCCAGGATCACTGGGCTCCAGTCCCATTGACCTTCTGATGTAGACTGTCATAGGCTGTTTTTCACCTCAGAGCCTTTGCACATGCTCTTGTCTCTGCCTGGTTTGCTCTTCCCTTGGCTCTTAGTATGGCTGGCATTTTCGGTCCCTCTTAATCTCAGCAAAAAATGCCATCTCCTAGGACTTTCCCTGATGACCTTATCTAAATTTGTACATAGCCTCACCATTCTTCTTGAAAGCAATACGTATTCATTTTATAGCATTTATCACAGCTATAATTATTTGTCTTATTTATTGGGTAACATTTTTGGGGGGATCTGGAGACTCTAACCTCCATGCGAGTAGGATCTGTTTTATTTACAGTTTCAGAGCACAAAGCCTGATACAATGTAGACACTCAATAAATACTTATTGAATGGATAAATGTTATAAAAATCAAGCTTAAATGCCCTATCAATGTTTAAGTCTGGGCAAAGATGGCCTTGGAAAAGTGGATTTAAGGCCTGTGGGGGATTAAATTTAAACAGAGAAGTCTTGACAGTGGAAGACAGGCTCAGACAGTGTGTGCTCCATGGGAGAGCACACCATGACAGTTATTATTGCCAATATTGGCATGGGAAGAGGCAGTAATCCATTTGTTGTATATTCAGTTCTCTGAACTGTTCTAATTAGCACATTTCAAAGGTAAAGAAACTGAGGTCAAAAGTGGGTTAAAAATACTTCGACCCAGTTTTTAGAACAAACATCTTGACAAAATAATAGAGAAGAAGAAAAGCAAGAGATAATCAAGGGGAGATTCCGATTTAGTGGAAAACTTTAATAAATGTTTATGTGGCTTATGAAGCAACATAATCCATATGTTGATAAGAGCTCAACTCTGAAAAACAGATGTTTTCCTTACCACTATCCACTAGATTCTGTTTGTCGGTGCTAAATTACAATTACAAATTACATTTGTTAGGGATAAAGCCCTCTTAAGAAGGTCAGATAACCTGAAGACAAAATGCATGATACAACTGACATCTTTTAATTGCTTTTTTGGGAAAATGCAATAGGAGGCTTTGATAATAAAAGAAGAGATTCAGATCATGGATTCTGACATCTAGTCAAGTGTTAGCACTAGTAAGGACTTAATAAATTATTGTTTGTTGAGTGATTATCAAACACTGTACCTTATAAGCAAGGAGAGAGGTTTAGATAGAAATTTAAATGAATTCTGAGCAATAAATAACTTTAACAATTACTTAGGCCACCTGTCTCAAATGGAAAATCAGAGGCCTAGAAAAGTGAACTGATAATGTCAAGTAGAAGCTGCTGTCCTGCTACTGCATCTGTGTTCCCAGTGTTTTAGCTCCACAAAGTTCTGGTGTAACCCCAATCAAAGCCTTTTTGTCGTATTAAAAAAAAAAAAAAAAATCTTATGTCATCTGCTGATTTATTTGATAGCTAAGTTTAAAATTATTGATTAAGTAGTTGAAGGCTCTTTTTACCTTCTATTATTTCTGCTGAACAGTCTCACATCAACTAAGTTTTCATAGGACCTATTGTTTCATGAGGAAACAATAGAATATATCACTTATTGTGAGGTCTTCAGTATAGCCGTCTTCTATATCATAAAATATCAAGATCACCGTATGAAATTACTCTTTGTTATGGGATATTTCCACTGAGAAACATGAACAATGATTACTCTCTGCTTTCACAATGGATGTCATATTTAGAGTTGCTAGCCTTTTATACATGGTGGGGTTACTAAGAAATTACAAGAAATGAGACACCAAAATTGTGAAATGAGAAGTCACTGGTAACGCATTTTTTTGTTTCTTATTCAATTATATTAGCAGCCAGTTAGCAACACATGACAAGGCATAAAAAGACAGGGCCCAGGCATTGTTGCTCTTGGTGGTGTGATATAATAACAAGAGTTTAGTTTAGTGTGAAATGACATAAGGTCTAGAAATAGGTTCATTGCTAATTATGTAACTACTAAATATTGTTCACTTGGCTTATGAGCGTATAATATACAGATTATACCTAGAACAACCTTACAAATATCAGTGGGATAGAATGAATGGCATTCTGAATCCTCGTTTCAGTTTTCTGGTATCTATGCACCTAAACCATTAACTGAATGTTTCTGTGCCTCAGTTTACCACATGTAAAATAATATTAAATTATATGACTTTTAAGGCTCTTCCATTTGAACATTCAATGATTCCATATTACCATAAATTCAAAGATTTCTTAGGTAATACCCTTCTATTTGAAAAATAAGAAATTATCATCAGAAGAACTTTTCACTGAATGTCGTTACCTTTAAATTGTAAGCAATATGGTTCTGGTCAACCTAGTGTGCTCTGCCCTTAAAAAAAATCAAAGGAACTTTTAAAAAAATCGAATTTTAGACCTTTCTAACTGATGTACACTATATACAATGCTGAAATATTTCAGAAAACTTAAAAAAAAGTTAAAGAGGACAAATTTCCAAATTAATTCATTTGTCACTCTTACATGTCTCATGTAAGAACAAATCTGTCTTGGAAGAAGTAAAGACAGAATGCTCCTTAGAACAAGGCTGGGAGACTTCGTCTCACATACTTTGGACATATTATCAGCAGGGACCAGTCCCTGGAGAAGGACATCATGCTTGGTAAAGCAGAGGGTCAGCGAAGAAGAGGAAGACTCTCAATGAGATGACACAATGGCTGCAACAATGAGCTCAGATATGGCAACAAATGTGGTGATGGCTCAATAAGAGATAGTGTTTTCTGTGGTTGTACATAGGGTGGCTATGAGTCAGAATCGACTTGATGATGCCTAAAATAACAAGTCTCATGTAAGAACCACTAACCAATACATTAATTCCCAGTACAGTCTTAAACATCTGGCAATGTTTGTTACTAAAAAATATCTGATTGTTAGTCCAGGAATGAGGCCAGTTCAGAGAGGATAACCATGTAAAATTGAGGGAATAGTGACTACATTTTTCTGCATTGTCCATCTCAGAAGAAAGTCGGTCACTTTAAGAGGCTTTGGTCTAGAGACTGAGGGACACAGCATCTTTTCTGAGCCAGCCTCATATTCATATAAAAAGGTAACCATCATTTTACATCATATAATATTTTAGCTTGGACAAATACATATTTGGATATAACACCCAAACCTGGTTGCCTCATGATGAGAGTTGGGTCAAACAGGGCTGCCCTGTGACTTTTGTGGGCCCTAGGCACTTTTGTCTTTGTGGGTCCATTTCTCCCTATACTACTGAAATTGTATTTTATGACTGCATTAGTATAAAGACTAATATAATATAGTCCAGGAAGGTTATATTCATTTTTCTTAAGTTAAAAGAGATTAAAACAACTTTGTGGCTTCTAAAATGTGGGTCCTGGGCACTGTCTTCACTGTGCCTCATGAAGAAGTTGGGCAAAGGATCAAATTTTCATAGTAAGGTCAAAGTTTGCTATCATATATTTCGCTCAACAGCCCCAGTAACAGGTTGCTTTTGCTAATGTGATGTTCTTTAATTTTTTTTAATCACTCTGCAAATAAACAGAGAATTTGTGTGTTCTGTGACTAGAAATCAAAAAAGGTATGGAATTCCTTCCCTTTCTTCTCTCTTCATGGTGTACACCCTCCTCACCCAACCTGCACAAATCAAAGATCAGGGATATGACCTAACCTCTCATACAGAAGGATGGCTAGGTTAAAAAGTGACATGGCAAATGAAAATGTCTGAGAAATGTCAATAGCTATCATCACCATCATCATCAACATCATTATTGTGAATATCATTGAAAAAGTTAATTAATAGCAAAGGAAGTAAAATCAGTTTTCATTTGAAAATTGTAGTACAGCAAACAAACTGTCCAGTGCTTCTTTTCACGTTTATAATGACCTTCTCCTGGCCTGACATAATCTGAACTCAAGCTACTGCCTTTAATCTCATTTCATCTCGCATGCACCTCCCTCTCTCCTCATTGGTCTTCCTGATTTTCCTCAAACACACCAAGTATATACTTGCCTTAGAGGAAGAAGCTTGTTATTTCCTCTGTCCAGCAAACCTTCTCCAAGACTTTCAGATGGCTCATAGTCATGCCTCTCTATAAATTTCACTTCCTCAAAGACCCTTTCTGACTCCTTTAGTTAAAATAAAGAAGTTTCATTCTGTATCACTTTATTCTATTGTATATAACTTTATTACACTTACCACTAGTCAAAATGATATCTTTATTAGATTAACGGTTTATTGTCCCTACCACTACAACGTATGTTCCACAAAGGCAGAAACCCTCATTTGTTATGTTTCTGCTCTCTCCCCAGCACAGTACTTTGCACGTTTTACTTTGTAGATGTTTAATAGACATGTGTTGGAAGAGTAAATAGACAACTGAATGAATCAGAAAAATATGTCTTAGTTTTCCTAGACTAAGGCATGTGGGCTTTCATTTCCTAGCCTGCCCTCTGGAACCATGAAGTAGAAAATAGGAAGCGGATAAAACTCACTAATTAGGAGACATAAAATGAGAAAGCACATGTACTATTTTCCATTCTTTCCTTTTAGATGCTTATACAAGAGCAGAAGTTGTTTATGAGTGGACCAGAGAGCCAGCACGCTCAGTAGTTGTAGCAGAAGATGGGTCACGCCTCAACCAGTATGATCTTCTTGGACAAACGGTAGACTCTGGAATTGTTCAGTCCAGTACAGGTGAGTGCAATTTGGTTGTTCTCCATATGGAGGAAGAAACAGAAACTTTTTTTTTTTATTTTAATGTGAACATGAGATATCGGTGAGTCCTGCTGTAACATAAGTAGAGAGAAAATTACAAGGGATTGGGAATCAGGTTGGCTAGGAACTAGTATAAAGCCTGTAGAGTTGTAACCTGGGACAGGTCACTTAATGCCTCTTGGCCTCTGTTTATTGGTTTGTGAAATTAAGTACTGGTTCTGTGTGGTCATTGTAGCACAGCTGTTAAGTATGTGAACTCTTGGAGAAGAAAGTCTTGGTAAATCCTTACTCTTTCCCTTTTCCAGTTGATTGTAGTCACAGCGTTGCTAGAAGGAACAAAATTAAATCCATGTAGAGTACTTATCATAATTCCTGGCACATAGAAAGCTCTTAATAAATGTTAGCTATTAATATCTTCTAAAACCAAAAACCAAACCCGTTGCTGTAGAGTTGATTCTGACTCATAGCGATCCTACAGGGCAGAGAATTGCTCCATAGGGTTTCTAAGGAGCAGCTGGTAGATTTGAACTGCCAACCTTTTGGTTCTAGGCCTCATTTACTGCCATGATTCAATGAATCCTGGTAAATACGTAGCAGCCATCATTACACATGGGATGTCACAAAGCCTATTCTTCCTACAAATTCCTTCATATTGCTAGCTAAGGATCTTCCATAGCTAGCACCTGCAGAAACATAAAGTCATTACTGATCACTCCATTTTGGAATTTAAATAGGTGGGGAAGGGGGCCATCTTTTTTAGTGTTGTGACTGATTTGCTAATGACATACTCAGAACTAGATCAAATGCTATTAAACAGTTGGGTACAAAATTTTAAATCTGTACAGTTGTTTCTACCAATCAAATATAAGTTTGGCTATGTAAATATCCATTTTATGACTAAGTAAAATGTGATCATATGGCCAGATAATTATTAATAAAATTTGGACCCTAGCAATTAGGAAAATTTACCCCCAAATTCACAATATTTTAAATTTGTTCAATTCCTGAAAACTTTAACAAAGGCCAACAGTTGGCTCTATGGACATTTTCATTCAAATCTGTGCCATTCACTTATATCTGGGATTTCAAAGAAAGACAATTTAGTAATAAATAAGGGCAGTGGTGCTATTTTTCTTACGAACATTTCTTCCTTAGATTTCAAAATGGATATTGGGGCTCCCATTTTCAAACCCTTTCAAATAATAGGTAGTATCTTTTTCTGTGATTAGTGGCTGAGTTCTGTTTAATATGATGTATTTCCTTTTTAAGGGGTGTAAAAGCATCCATAGCTATCCTAGAAGCTTAAATATTTATGTTTCTTGTTTTGAAATGTGGGGATGTTTATTTCTCTGATCTACCCTAAACAGAAATGCATACGGCTAGTAGCAAGGGCATAGGCTTTGCAATGAGGAAGATGAGAGTTCAAGCCTTGGTCCTACCACTTAAACACCTTGGGATTCAAGTCATTTATCCAACAAGAAATCCCAGTCTCTTCAAAGAAATAACATAATAATATAATATAATAATTATATAATAATATAATTTGGCATTAAAGATGAGATAATGTAAAACACCAAGCAGAGTGCTATATAGCAGATACTCTAAATAGTATCTAACAGTGTCTAATATCCTGCTTTACTAGTTTTGAAAACATCTTAGAACATAGAAAATGGTGAGGATTTTTCTCCCACACAACATGTTAAGGGGAAAAATATACTAAACTGAGCAGCGTTTGCTTTTAAAAATTTAATGTTATCATGCAGTAGATATTGTGGCAAGTACTAAAGGCTCAATGATAGGCAAAGCACAGATCTTGCCCTCCTGGAATCTGAGGTCTAAGAGAGGACAGACAATAAACTGTAATTATAAAAAAGGGGAGTGAGTGCTGTGATTGACATTTTTGTGAGGGCAGGAACCATGTCTCACCAAAGTTACACCATTTCAAAAATTTCTACATGTACAATTCAGTGACATTGATTACATTCTTCCAGTTGTGCTGCTATTCTCCCTATCCTTTTCCAAATTATTCTATCGCCATTATCTCAACTCACTGCCCCCTGGGCTTCCCATCAAACCTTTTGAGTTACTGTTGTCAATTTAATTTGATCTCACATAGATAATTCTTTTTTTTTTTTTGTACCTTAGATGAAGGTTTGCAGAACAAATATTTTCTCATTAAACAGTTAGTACACATATTGCCCTATAACAATGGTTAACAACACCATGACATGTCAATACTGTCCCTTCTCAAACTTGGGTTCCCTATCACCAGCTTTCCTGTCCCCTCCTGCCTTCTAGTCCTTGTCCCTGGACTGCTGTGCCTCACTAGTCCCTTTTTGTTTTATGGGGCTTTCCAATCCCTAGCTGAACGGTGAACCTCAGAAGTGACTTCACCACTGAGCTAAAAGGGTGTCCAGGGGTCATACTCTTGGGGTTTCTTCAGTCTGTCAGGCCAGTAAATCTGGTCTTATTTTGTGAGTTAGAATTTTGTTCTACATCCTTCTCCAGCTCTGTCCAGAACCCTCTGTTGTGATCCCGGTCAGAGCAGTCAGTGGTGGTAGCCAGGCACCATCTAGCTGTACTGGACTCAGTCTGTTGGAGGCCATGGTAGCTGTGGTCCATTAGTCCTTTGGACTAATCTTTTCCTTGTATCCTGTTCTCTTCATTCTTCC